GGTGTAAGTGCGCAATAGCTCTTACAATTCTCAATTTATAAATACAATTATTAACCTTCGTTCTTTCTAATACTTAATGCTCACACTCTAACCGAATGTTCCAAAAGTAAAAATTTTACCATTTGCTTGCCATTCGATTAAAAGTTTGTTCGTTATCAACATCGATACTTAGCTTTTAATAGTCAGTGTACGATCAATTCTTACGGCGACTTGTGATTCGTATATTTGCTGAAATAGTGTACAGAACACAGATATGTATGCTGTATATGTAGAATGAGAAAGAAATAGTCAAACCGTATGAATGCAAGATAGAATTGAAGATAGATAGGGAGACTGAGTGAGTGAGTGAGTGAGCAAGCAAGCAAGCAAGCAAGAGCACGCACGCCCGCGCGCGCGAGAGAGAGAGAGAACGGTCGGTATAATGGAAATAATGTTTCTATCTGTAAAAATTTCTAAAATTATATCGTAATTATGTTATACTGCAAAAAACAATTTCTTTAACCTATGTATAATTACTATTATTAATAACAATTCAGCTTGTTATTAATACAAAATTGCGAAATTTGTATAATTTTATTATTACTTATATATTACTATATATTGTTCTGCAAGTTATAATCCTGATACTGATATTTGATTGAATGGCCAGTAATTGACTTATGCTTCCAGTGTCGAGAATTGAGATATATTGGGGCCCAGTCTGTACCTGTAATATTGTTATGTACATTGCGAAAGGATAGAAACACTGTGTTTACTATTGTATGTATCTATTTATATAAATCGAATAAGTAAAATGAAAAAAATAAACACGTACTTCCTGTGTCCCAGATAGAAAGTCTGATATACAAACTGTGTAGGGGAGAGAAGGAGAAAAAGAAATAGCGATACACAGAGAGAAATAGGGCGAGAGAGAAAGAAAGAGAGAAAGAGAGAATGAGAGAGAGGGAGAGAGATACAAGGAATGTTGAATTTTTCTAAGGTGTATTATGTTGATAATATTAAACTTACTCAATCGCAAGAATATGTGATTAATAAGTTATTCTTCGATTTTCTTTCATTGTATTATTGGACACAGAGGACCAATATCTAGTATCCTCATCAAGAGATTAAGTTATTTCAATGATTGAACTTAATTTAATGTGCTTTTATATTTAATATTGAAGATTGTTGTGAAATAAGTTATGAATTGACAACGCATTTTTTTGAAGTATTGTAAAACCGATGAGCATTGTGATGTGAAAATAAACATTTTACAAAATCGGCATCCAATTGTTTTTGGGAATGTGAAAATGTATAGAGCATTGTATTATTAAGTATTCTTGATGAAAAAACTTTGTTACACTGGTTTGTATATTTCATTTATTTATAAATTTACATACTTCTTAGCTAATATCATCCATATCTTTAGGAATAGCGCAGTGTTCAATTAAATTCAAGGCTGGAACATACACTTTAAATGAATAATCATTTTTTGGAAACAGTCCAGGATTGATAATATGACAATTAGAATAGGTGGTTGCATATGCTTCACATTTGTCTGCAGACACAATTAAATCTGGAGTTGGATATATTTGTAGAGCATGATCGTGTTTCCAGTATATTGGGACTATAGAAGGATTTAACGGAGTCAAATGTGACTGGCAAATAATTGATTTAGCGTACTAAAAGTTGTAAAAAAATAATGAGAGTATTACAATTTATAAGTACAAACAAATATCAACATAATAAAACTTACATGATCATAAATATTTCCTTCTTGTGGATATAAAAGTGCATTTCTACACATCTTTGTTAAAATATCTTCTCTTAACACAACAATTTCTTTTGTACAATACTGAATTCTACAAGGATTAGTAGCAAATATTGCACCAGGTATAGTTTTCCTAAACTCTTCTGTAATATTTTTCGGAAGCGAAGATCTTGGCAAAATTTTTGGTGATCCAATATCATCAGATGCTGGTACAAAAATAAATTTGGAAGACTCTTTTATTCCTGGATATTGTATTATTATATCTGCTAAATCTTTAAGACCTTCTTTTAATTTTTGTGCGCTAGTTACATTTGCTGGGAAGCTTAAAAAATGGCCACATAACACAAAAGCAATAGGTGGATAATCAGAATATCCTTCCAACATAATCCTAAATTTTTTTAAAACAGTTTCGTCATCTAACCACATTTCAGATACAAAAATCATCATTCCATCTTTGTTACTTTCCTCGTAATTTTTTAATTTTTCTGACATTTTCAAAGACAGATTATGTAAACCTCCAAATGTATTAGAATCTCCGAATTCTGCACGTGCATTGCTAGATGATTCAGCTGGTGGAAAACCTATATCTTCTGCATACAACATACCATCTTTGTAATTTCCACTAACTATTACTACAGATGCTTCCAGAATTAATCCATCCTGAAAATTGTGTTGAATTGCTAAGGAAAATAATTTTTGGAAACCTTATTTGTATATAATAAAAATTATTTCAGATTAGCTTTTTCTATACAAAAGGATATTGCTTTTGTCAAATCAATTTTTATGGTTCCTCCTGTATCCTCTAAATAATATTGACCTTCCACTAAGTGTGTTAAAAAGCCCATTACATAAACACTTCCTTGTTTACTTTCGCTCAATAAGCATTCAATAGGTACCAATTCAATCCAAGTATCTTTTCTTTCGCCAATTTTAGGGGGAGTAAAATGTTCGTGTCTTAAGGTTCTATACCAAAGTGATTCAAATCGATCTTTAATCATTGTTGATTTATATTGAGCTTCAGCATATAAATCTGGTGTTAGAAATGACAAAACAAACTTTTTTTTGGATAAATCATACTTAATTTTTGGTATTTCAAATGCATCTATGACACCTAAGATTATTTCTGTATCTTTCAATGTATCAGGCTTTATACACTCTTCTATTGCTAATTTAAGACTTTCCACTGTAATGTGAGGACCATTTAATTTCTGAGTTAAAACTTGTTCTACAATTTGTGTAAGCCAAGGTTTACGTTCATCTTCATTTACATTCAGCAATTCTTTAGCAAGTGAAACACTGAGTTTCCTAAATGAAATAAAAAGAATATAGTCTGTAAAGGTTTGGATAATATATTCATTTAAATAAATGTAAAAATCTATACCTTGAAAGTACAAGACCATACAAAGAAAATGTGCTCTGTACAAATTTTACTAATTTTTCATCAGCCATCATTAGATGTAATATTTTGATTATACATATTCATACATACGTGCGCTATGTTAGAACAAAAGCAGAAAAAACAATTTTAATTATTAATGCTATCAGATTATTAATTCATAAAATCAACTTTGCGCGAATTATTTCGTTCTCAATTATTTTTTTGACAGGTACTCTGAATTCATGTACATGAAATATTTTCCCGCCTTTTGACACCACTGGCACAGCAAGACGTCTAGAATCTAAACTCTAGGTAGAGTCCGCTAGTGCACATTTTTTACTACAATTTGTACTAGATGGTGTACAACGCTACTTTCTTGAAACTAAATTATTAAATATGGCTGCCATAAGAAGTGGTTTATCAACATTCTCGAATTTCCTTTTAAGTAATACGAATTTTCCAATATGTAATGTAAGTATAAATAATATATAAAATATTGAATAGAATAGTGATTAACTCATGTTTGGCTGTTTTGTAATTTTATGCATTTGGTGATTAATTTTAGCAAATACGTAATTTATATCTTGGACGATGGATGATTCGTGATATGAAACGAAGAAAATTATTAGAGCAATATGGACCAGAGCGATTACGATTGGTTGCTATGAAAAGAAACGATATTTTACCAGTACCAATTCAGGTACATATACTTTTTAAACATAACCTTAATAATAGAATAAACTCATAAAAGTTGTTTCTTAATAACAGGATAATATTTTATTAGATATTCATCATTATATTATTGTTCTGTTTTAATTTTTAGGAACTTGCTGGTAAACAAATAGATGAAACAATACCTCGTCAAACTGCTAAAAGACAAATAACATTTCGTTGTGTAATAACCTCCCGTCCTCGTGGTGTTGTATCTAGATGGAGATTATCAAGAATTGTTTTTCGTGACTTAGCAGACCATAACAAATTGTCTGGTGTGCAACGTGCTATGTGGTAAATGTAATACAAATTAGATATTTGTTAAAAATGTATAATACTTCTGATGTACAAGAATATAAAAATATTGAATAGAATAATAAAATATTGAGCAGAAGTATTTTTAGGCTTATCTTAGTATATGCAAAATCCTTTAAGAAATTATAGAAATTATGAAGGAAAAAATTTGATTTGTTTCCATTTATTATAATAAAGTATTGAACAAATACAAAATGTTCTGCAACAAAGTGAAAATGTGATTCAAAGGTAGAGTATAAAATTTTGTTTGTAGAAGGCTTAGTTTCAAAGAAAATAAATTAGCACTAAAAAAGGGGTACTCGTGTTTTCTTATCTATAGAAAGTAGAAGTGCATACATTTTAAATTTATTTTGTCATATTATCTTGTAGTGACGGTTGCTGAACTACACATATACCCATACAAAATCCTTTATTTATTCAGGAAGATAAACTTTACACTTCCATAAGCTTTTATTTTCACTGAATTTAGAAGATATATTTATGTTTAGTATAAAATCGATTGGTCACATGATATTGTCTTAACAGGATCAGGATTTAAACTTATTACTATCAGTCCCTCCTTACCCCTGTGCACTTTAATTCATTGGCAACGTCACTAACGTAAGATGCGAATAATAGATTTATTGGAGTAAGAAGGAAATAGATAGTTTGTAGCCAATATGACGGTAATGTCGGTTTCTACTTGTAGATAAAGTCAATTTCTGTTTGTTATTAGCAATATTTCCTTGAGACTCTTTCCTTCCAAATTTTCTTCACCTTCCATTTCCATATTTCTTGATTGGTTTTGTTTTTGCGATCTAGTTGGCGAACGTTGTAATGGTATTTTCTTATATCACGTCGGGGTCACCAAAAAAGTTTGTGTCGCGTGTTTCTTTATTCAATATATTATTTATTTACAATGTTCACTAAATTATAATGTTGAAATATTTTATCAACTAACTTCTATGACGGCTTGTTTCTAACCAACTATTTACAAAAAGAATGTCAGGGATATTAACAAAAGAATTTAAAATTTATAGTTAAATGATTTCTAATAATTAACAGAAATAAACAGAAATTGACTTTATCTACAAATAGAAACCGATATTACCGACACATTGGTTAGAGGATAAGGAAGTATTTTTAAAAATTATTTTTTTTTTAATTATTATATTAACGACTTTTTAATAAATCAGAAAAGACTATTCTGTATTATTAATGAAATATTTGACAATGAACAATTAATTATAACATTTAAATTTATTATATAAAGAAAATATTTCACTTTATTCCGAATTCTGAAAACGAAATACAAAATCCTAGAGCCAACATTCTTGCTGTTTCTGCTGTTCCTGCTTCGTATCCCTTCGCGAAACCTGTCACGACCCCTCGAGAAGTTTCCCCTCTTTCAAGGCGATTTTCGAATGTCTCCTCTTACCCCTAATCCGGCTAGTCCACTGAACGGATTTCAGGTGGAAAGAGGCGAACTACGCTTACGTACATGCATGCGTACGTTTAACGTGCTAAAATAACTTTGTACGTTTGTCGAGTTTGCCGGCTTCAATTATTGGTTCGAATGTAATTCTTAAACTTGTTACTTTGAATCGTAGGGGGCGTATGAAAACGTCTCCTTTTTTTTACTGAGTCGGTATTTTAGATGTACCGGATACGAAGTTGTATAAGAAGTTTAGCCTGCCCTATTTCTCGTCGGTGTTTAAAGGTTTGGGATAACTCTCGAATGCACCATTCTTTGAACCTAGAGGTCGTGCAAATCTCTGTACATTTTAAGATGTCGATATTACAGATTCCTTAAGACACTAAATCTCACTTGATAAGTGATCTAGTCTCCTATTGTGTCACAGTCGTAGTTGTGTTACAATAAAAAAAATATAAATTTAGCCTACATGGCACAATTCGTTCATTTGACGAATAATCAGATTAACATTCAATGTAGGTTTAAAATGGAATCAATGTGTGCCTGTATTATGTCACTTTATCAATGTTAAAGCGCGAGGAACTAGTAGTGTAACTACCTATCTGATCTGACATGCATGGCGCAGGTCCGAATATACACTTCAATTCTTCTGAATCAAGAAACTTTCCGAGTTAGTACACATTGGGACTCTTGCACAGTGAATTCCCTTTTGTCATCGTAAAAAATTTGACCTGTTGCATTGAACGTTGTTTTTTTTCGATAGTGGTACGTCTAAAGTATATACCGGCAATTACTTAATTTCGTAAGTACTTCGCTTTAAACGAGTATAACTATAATTTACAGAGTATTACAAGCGAATTCGTCGTTTGAATTGTTCTATTTCCATGAAAGTGAAATACTGAAATGGTTTAGTGTTAAATAAAAAAGAAGTATTCACGGTAATCGCGATGTTAGTACATTATAAACTGTGTGTAAATATGTGCAACTTTCTAACAGCATACTAACTCATTATTTGATAACGTAGCACGCCAAATGAAAATAAATCATAAAATATTCGTTTCAATCTGTCTTTAAATTTCTGTAATTGATATTTGCATATTATATTGCACTACACAGAGAATAAATTTATTATCCAATTTTATGACCTGTGAAAAGCGAATGCTATGAAATCGATAATATTATGAACCGATTATAGATAAAAACTAAATCATTACCGCTGCGGACAACAGTTAATGTGTAACTTCTGCAAGGCTGAGTTGTATAAAGATTTCCCACGTATGTAATAAATTATAGGTCGCCAAGTACGACAGAATATATTTGTAGCATCGAATTAAAAACAAGCATTATATGAAAATCGTTGATACAACTGTTACATTTACACCGTGATAGCACAATTCGTTAGAGAATTTATTTTAAAGTATATGTGTTTTCAATTTCAAATGCAAGATTCGACGCATTGCCTGAACATCCGAGAATCGATGCTTTACGCCTGCTTCTGAAATTAAGATGCTTATGTGGAAATTAAAAATTATAAGTTTTCCTAACAGCCAGGTAATACCTTAGTTTCTGAACGAAACACAAGTATAAATAGTATCGTATAACAGCGGAGTAATGGGAGTAAAATTGCATAAAAAGTGTAGACGCAGCGAGTTAACAAGACTTTGAAGAGTCAACACGTTACTTCATATCCTGAATAAACATTTGTCACCCCTTTCTAAGAATTCAACACATTATTAGTATCGTTTACACTGGATGCGCGTCATGTAGTGTATCAATAATGCGCCGAAATTAATTAAAAAAGAAATATATGATTCCCAGCGAAATGCGCAACTCTCGTTCGAAGTTCTTATAAATTTCTGGTTCTTGTTTTCTGCGACTATAGTTCGTATAGCTCGTGATTAGAAATGCGAGATATTGGATCCATTTTATAAAACGAAAAAGTATGTAGGATTCTGTTCACGAGACGATCAAATATTTTTGGGAAAAGATTTCGAAGAAATACTGAAAAAATTGGAAAAAGACGTTACAGATATTTATGAATTTTAAAATATTTATTTGAAGAATAAATCTTCAGAAAGGTCCATGGTTGCATAGGACGTTTATCTATTTTTTTTTAATTATCTGTTTTAATCTACAATATCGTGTTATACTTCTGGCGAAAATTTCAACTAGAATTTAACAAATATATATGTCATGTGATTCTTTCAAGTCCAAATTGAACATTACTTTTCTATTAACAATTGTAATGCTTTAGAGTAATAGCAGGCGTACAGTAAGCGTAGAATTTGCCTCCTTTTCTACTGAATTATGAACTGTAAAATAGTTCCGTTAAGCTCTATTGCGAAAGAACTCACAGTGCAAGGAGTTAAAAGGTAATAAATGTCATAATCCATCTTATAACTATGTGTCGTAGAAAACCCAACACAAAAGACTTACACGATGCAATAAAAAAACATGGCAACTATTTTTAATTGATCTCCTTATTTGATAGATCAGCAAAAATTTGAATGCGAAGTGGTCACTATTGCGAATATTAATTTATGAATGTAATATATATCAATATATTTTATAATTTATTTGCAGGAAGAGTTTATTAAACAGTCAACATTTCATCAGTTTAATTCTTTACATTTATTTATACAGTAACAGATGAAGAATAATAATTTTGTTTAAGAACGTAACATTTTCGAAAAATTAAACACTGACTCGAATAAATCTGTTTACTTATTTTTGTTCCCTCAGTTACTTGCATAAACATTGCGGAAAATAGATTCAGGTTAACTACTAAAGTCTATTTAACTGAATGGCTCAGTGCAAATAAACAAAAAGAGCAGTGTGTATCCCATTGAAACTGCCTGGAAATTGTGAATGAATCCGACTTTGTCTCGAACAAAATAGTTGCCACGTGCATTTGTTTACAGCTACTGCATAATTCTGAATTCATTGAAAGTTGAACTGACTACAATAACACAGGACTAGCGTGGGAGATTTAATCTTAATAAATGGAATCTGTTGAACGTTAAGATTATATATAGCAGATATTTTTAAATGTATCTTATCGTTTCACTTTTTGACTATTTCAAAATCATATTATAGATCGTTATTAAATATAATTTATCTATTAACTATTCTGGAATTAAAGTAACGAAAATACCTCTAATTGGTATAACAGTAAATTTTATATGATTTGTCTAGTATAAATTTTTCATTAGTATTATTGTTATGAACATTATTGTCATACTATTATAGACAATAGTATTATTGTCATAAAGTAGTTTGTATGCAATTTATTAGAATTGTATTTGAGGCATATTATATTTTTATGAGAAGACTGTCAATTGATGGGTCAGTGTATTTTAATGAAAATGATTTCCAAAATTACGTTCATCGATTTTCAAAATATTTTGTAATATTTGTATCCACAGATAATAGAACGGTGGTCGTAGTAAATATTTTTATTAACAAAACCTGCCCTACATCATTGTTAATGTTCTCGCAAACCGTGAAGTCATGAAGGCATAAGATTTTCGACAATTCTTCAATGGTCCATGTTACCGATAAATGGTTAATTTCACTTTGTCGCTATTTTTTTATGATTTAATTTATACAATGAAAAAATAAAACGGTCAGCTTGTATAAAAATCTAAAAATACTAAGTAATATCACATTTTATATCTATGCCAATTTGATTCACGAAGAATAATATAATTATCGCAAGGAGTTCCCTGTATTTATGATTGTTTATTATTTTATATATTTACCACTAGATCTCGCATGTATAAAGAGATAAAAAGAATTGAATGAGGTATAATTTAGATGACCGATATGCATTCGACAAATTGCTCATTACCAGAAATAAATTATTCAAATCGCTGAATAGCCCTAACAGTGCTGTAAGTATTTTTCTAGCATCTATGTAAAATTGCGGATTTGTATGTATTTATGAAAAATTTGGAAGTGCAAAATTGCATAGAATAATAAAAATATTTAAAGTGTAGTGCTTTTAATAATATTTGTTAGGGAAAGCAATTTCTCACCGTAATTCCATTTCTCTAATTATAAATTTCTTAACAATTTGAATTTGTGCGGAGATCCACAGTCCAGTTATAATATTAAAACATTAAATTGAATAATCGAACATGTTCACAGGACTATGTTTCGAATAGAATGTAATGGTTTCCCATACGCAGTTGTATACCATAATCCAAGTCATGCCATTAAGAATGGAAATCGCCCTCAATGAACTTCCCACTCGAAATAATAGATTGAGTAAAAAAATCCCGCCATTGGCGATATATAGGAAAAATGACAACCATACCGAGGAGTTAAACATGGATCAAACGGGCTCATCTAGGAATGAATATCAACATCGACGAAGCTATTCTTCATATAGTGGCGTGAGAATCTACTATTTATTTAAGATACATCATTGTCACAATAACATTTCAAATATTAATTTGTAATTACAAAACTTTAAAAAATGTAAAATATTTATATATATTTTATTATATTATTTTATATACATTTTATATATATTTTATATACTTATATATTTATATATATATATATATTTTATATTTTTAAAGTTTTTAATGGGAATAATAATTGTATATTTCACAGTATACTACATTATTTATTTTTCCTTGCATAGAACTCGGAAAGCTTTCAATGCGCGATCGGGCCTATTTTAAGCATCGCTCAAATATTTGGAATATTTCCAGTATCTGGGATACGATCGACATCACCATCGAAACTTCATTTTAATCCACTTTCGTTTCTCACCATCTATTCTGTATTTGTCACTGTGATGATACTTTTTGCAACGACCATATCAATGATTTATATGTTTAAAACTTTGAACGCGGAGACATTTCAAATGCGTGGTAAGTAAATATCAATCTTCGTTGTTTAAAACTTATAGAAAAGGTTTGAATATAATGGTTTCACAATAATTTTGTTTTATACGTACATCTTCCTAAATATTAAATATATTAATTTACTCGATTTACAATGCAGTTATTCTTGGACTCTAAAACAATAGAACTCGTCACAATCATTATTCATCGCTGTTTATTTATTTCATATAAATGGTATTTCAAAAGTACAGGGCAATTTGAAATTTATTTTTTATGTAAATAAAAAATGAAAGGTACTTTACCATTTTCACATACCAATAAAAATATGAAATAATTGCCGTAATAACCATGGAATACTTACTACATCCGATTAATGCAGTAGTGATTGAAATGATATATCCAAAATTATAGACATTTATTGGAATATTTCTTCCATTATATTACTATAATATTCTAGCTTTTTATTTCTGAATGTCGTGTATAGTGTGAAAAATTGCATTTGAAACATTTTTTAAGTGATGACTGAGTAGCTTCAGAGATAATTGGATTTATAGATTAAAATGGCACACGTTTTATATTTGTTAATAGTCTTCGATGTAATCCCTTTATACATTTTATATAAATACTAATATTCAGATTTATTAATGCATTAATCTAAATTTCAATTGACACCTATACGTATCTCGTTACATATTCACTACTAAACTTACAGCATTTATTTTTCACTCAACTAATCCTTATTTACACGTGAAGTAAATGAAAGTAAAAATTTCATAAACGTAATGGAAAATATGGTAATTTTCATATTGCGTTAAACGTTGACTCATGTTGATTTCTAAGAATGGGGATAGTTTAACCCCTGCCGTGGGCCTAGATAAAAATCGGTAACAATATGGGGAATTGCGATATTCTGTCTCTTATTCAGTGAGTATATAAGCCAGTCTCACCGAGAGTGGGCAAGATAGGATCATGGTTCGCGTGACAGTCGAAACCTTAAACGTATGCCGCACGCATATTGATACATCCATTAATAATGCAAAATGAAAGTTGTCTTACTTTCGTCGTCCGTTTACGAACGTTTTGTCAACAGAGTCTGAACTTCATTGAACAATCGTCTTCTTCAATTCCTGTTACTTATATGTGCCTTTAATTTTGTGGAATAAGTCATTTCAAGCATCAAAAATCATATTCCCTTATAAGTTACACACAACATTACACAGATTCATAACAAATTCTTATTTTTCAAATATCTTATGAAATATTTTGTCAGATAGCGTAAAAAGTTTTAATTTATTCAAACGAAAACCTTTGAATATCTCGAAACTAACAATATATAACTTAGTTCACCTTAAACATTAACGTCACATATATAATTGAGGGAATTAAAAAGTCCGAATAAGTTTGAATCAGGAGGACGTCAAGACTTAAAATTTGTTATTTTACAACGTTTTTGTGAAAATATAATGATAAACATAAAAGTTAAATCTTTTATCGAATCGTAAAAATTTGAAGGAGGATTTACGAATTCTATATGAAATACAAATTATCATGTATTAAACACGTTTTACACTTGAAAACCAGGAATGTTGAAATGTATGATGTTAGATAATGGAAGCCTTAAATCAATGATCAGATATTCAATTGTTTTTTAGGCGTGTAAATAGGACATTGAGAGAGAGTAAGTGATGTAGTGTTGTAGAACACGCGACACTTGTTACTTTAAATATGCAACGTAGAAGAAATTACTGGAACAATATTTACTACAATTCCGTACAAGATTTTAGTTGATATTCACTTGTGTTCAACAATTGAAATTATTGAAACAATTGTCTTTACGTGTTTCTTTTTCCAATCCAAATTTGGATTTGCACTAGTTCATTGACTTACGTACAAGAATAGACCTATATAAACAATAAAACTGTGCTTTACTGATATGTTATTCCTGATCAAAGAATTGTTAACTAATACTTCCTGGATACATTAAATTGCTTATGTTAAAATAAGTGAAAGATATTTCATTAGCTTAAATATTATTTAGAATCATTCAATCGTGTTTTAATTTTGAACAGAAGAATTCTATATTATGAATTACTACAAAAAGTTAAAAAGAATAATAGTGGTAAATTTTAGTTGCCTCTGTCAAGACATTTAATTGTTATATACAATCAGCTGTAGCTAAATATTAATAAATTTAATATCAATTTAATCACTTGAATAATAAAGATAAACATTATTGCCAATATATTTTTTAGATTTCACAATTAACTTATATATTCTTAAGAAATATTTTGCGAAA